GCGCGGCGGGGATAATAAGCCGCACGGATGAGCGGCGCCGGGCTTCTCCGGAGGGTCAGCCGCAGGCACCCGCAGCCGCTGCCGAGAGAGGAAGGGAAGGAGGGCGGGAGAGAGAGAGGGAGGGAGGGAAGGAAAGTCACCACAGGTCAGCACCTACCTGGCAGTTTCAGCCTCTGCTCTCGGCAGCAGTCATCAATATTCGCTCCTTGTCACCTTGCACAAAGAGAAAAAAGAAAGAAAAAAGGCACTGCTACCTACAGCCCACGTAAACTGAGCTAAAATATATATCTATTTAAAAGTAGTAGAAGCCACAGCAGCTGAAGCTGATCCCCGGGTAGCATGAACAGCATGAACCAGATAGAAACAAACATGCAGTACACCTACAACTATGAAGAAGATGAATACATGACCCAAGAAGAAGAATGGGACAGGGACCTGCTCCTGGACCCAGCATGGGAGAAACAGCAAAGGAAGGTCTGGAAATAAAGTAATGTGTGTCTGTGTATGTGCTTCTGTGTGGACTGATGTCCACTCTTACTGCCGTGCTGCATCTGTCTGCCTGTCTTCAAGGCCAGGCTGGATGAGGCTTTGAGCAACCTGGTCTAGTGGAAGGTGTCCCTGCTCATGGCAGGGGGGTTGGAACTAGATGGTCTTTAAGGTCCCTTCCAACCCAAACCGTTCTATGATTCTAGGATTTGGAACTGCCAGCGCTGTGCCGTAAGGGCTTCTAATTTTGTAAGAGAACATATTTTATGTAGCATATGTATAACATATATTAGCTATGCCATATTTTGAGAATAAAGCATTCACTTTTTGGAAACCGCTGTAAGACGAAACTATGAGAATCAGTTTTTTCATTTATAATGCACTGAAAAAAATCTGTCAGTACCTCTATATTTATGTATCAGTTGTTGATAGAGATTTCAGTAATTTTTAACTTCACTTCCTGGATCTTCCTTTTGGAAAGCAGACTGAATTGATGTGTATGCCTGATTGCTATTCAAAAACAGTAAATTGCAATTATAAACTGGGAGGCAAATGAGATAATTCGCAATTGGTGTGCAAAAAAAGTTTGCAGTATTTTTGTGAGCAGACTTTGAAATTGTGATCCTGCAAATCGGCTCTGATTAGAGTTTACTGTTAATTCTGACTGAATGACCTGACAGGGAAGATATTGCCCAGAAATATATCCAGGCTAGATTTGGAAAACTGTATTTTATGATTAGGTTCCTACATGACAATTCACTGTCTGGGGAAGAAACAGGTCCGTAAACTCCTTGGAATATACCACTGTAGAAAGTGCTTCTAATCTTTTAGGTCTAAGAAAACTATTATGCCACCTAGTACTGCCCATGCTCCTTTTCAGAACATAGGCAGAGATTATAATGCTGTCAGCAGTCTTATCAGTGGTTTGGTACTTCAGTAATATTTGCAATATCTGATTTCAGAACACAGAGTTTAAACAGAATATGGAAAATAGGGAGATGAGATACTGTAAAAGATTGTAAGAGACACTGTCCCTGCCCGTGGCAGGACGGTTGAACTACATGATCTTTAAGGTCCCTTCCAGTCCAAATCAGTCTATGAATCTATCCTGATGTTACTTCCTAATGTAAAAAGTGAGGTTAAAGTTACAGCTGACAGATCTGGGATTAAAAGGTTATTTGCTGGTTGCAAGAATGAGGAGGGGAAAAGAAAAAAAGGTGGGGCAGGGGAGAGAGAGAGAAATGGCACACTAGACAATAAGGTTGAATATGCTTTTTGCTATAGGTGAGCAGCTCACTTCAAGAACTTATGTAGAAGTTGCTAATTTATATCTGATGACAGAGCCTGGCCACTTCTGTAAAAGCTGTGCTGTACAAGTATAGCTATAAAAGTAAGCTGTTAGAATCCTTGGGGCCAATGGGTTTGCTTTTCTATTAAAATTGGTAGAGCAAATATTTGACTCTCGGGTTTTACTTGTAGCTTTCCTCCTTCTGGGGGTTTTATCTGTTTTTATTACTTTTCCTGCATTCACATCTGTTTGCATCCTGCTATATGAGTGTAGTGGGAGAAGCTCTGGGCTAGGTTGAAGTTCACTTTTCTTGATCTACCAGCTGCTGCAACTCCTAACCAGTTCACAAGTGTTGATGAATGCAACTTAAATTTGTTTTAATTTGACTCTTTTTAAATGGTGAACTATTCTTTAATGTTTTATAGTGAAAATGGAAATTATCTTAGTGCTGAAGTGTTTTAGTGATCTGAAACTGCGCAGCCGTAACAGGTCATGGTTACATCTTACGAGGATTCAGTTGTCCAGCATTTCGGAGAATGCTGTTTGCAAAATAAAGAAATAATGGTCAGGTTACTAGATAGTCAGCACTCTAATGCAGTTTTCCTACAATGCAGACAAATGACAAAAAAATAAAGAGAACTTGGGTTCTGTAGACTTTCTTACATTTGCAGTAAATCTGTTGACTATTACAGAGTAGCAGGTAGTAGCGTAAGTCCCCATAGCAATTTTTTTGCTTCCATTCCTCCAAACAGAGAGCGCTTCAGCAAGAAGTCGGGTTTCCACATTGGTAAACTAAAGTAGACTCTGCTTTACTTCCATAAAGTAGAGAGGTTGTGGCTTTACTACTGTACATTGCCAGTTCCCAAGGCTTATTTTTAATATTGAAGTGATAACACATTTAAATAAAACTTAGGAGAGGGGATCCTCATTCCTTGTCTTGGAAAGGTGTCTGATTTTATTATTACATTAAAAATAAGTACTCTTATGATAAAAGGCCCAATAAACTTCATAAAATTTCAAGGCTTCTATCTTTGGTGCTAAGACAGGGGCAAAAAGTGCTTTCTTTATTTTCTCATTTATTAGGAGAAGTTTGCAGACTGATGGGCACAGATCTTTATTCAAACTGGTAATATAATATTGAAAAGTGATCTCAGCGGAGCCCTGGCAGTTGGCAGCATATATTTTCTATTAGACAGGCTTGGAACAAACCAAAAATAAATGCCATTGTTTCTATTGTGGGCTGCGCTCTCCAGACTTGCCATTTCAGTGATATGCCTGGTATGAGATCTGTCAACAGATGCTGGTAACACATGATGACGTCCATAGGATTACAATGGATGTGACGCCTAATTATAACCATGGTTCATAGAGTATTACGGTCTGCTGTAATCCAGGTTCCTTGGTGGTTGCAGATGTCAGAATAAATATGAAGTCCACTATAGGAAAAGAGGTTGAGTAGTAGCTCAGCTCTGTCTCTGAATGTGAACACCAATTTAAAAACTTTGGTAACGTTTAGATTGCGTCAAATCAAGAAATCAAGAAGATAAAGCAAATTGACCACTTGCAGCATTATACATTATTGGTAAAAAATGGGATCATATGATTGTCAATTTCAGGCAGGAACTTTGAAAGGACTAAATAACAAAAATGTTTGTGTTTTTGATAGACATGATGTCTTCAGTAGGAACTAATCAGGGAATTACAGCCTTGGTGTCTTTTGAACATGTAGATGGGAACAATGAGATTGGAAACTTCTGAAAGCTGCTGCTTGACCCAGTACATTTCCACTGGCCACGTGTGCTTAAAAAGCAGTTCAGAGTTCTGCTCACCTCAGACCTCAGTTTTCCCACTAGTAGGAAGAAGACATCAGTGGTACTTCTCACAGCAGATGCAAGTGGTTGGTTCTATGGCATGCCGGACTAGTAATTAGCTAGTCTGTCATTCCGAACCTACTCTGCTGGACTGGAGTGGAAATAAAAACCATAGTAGCTCATGATGGAATACTTAAAACCTGCTATCTCTTCTCTCCGTGATAAATTTATTTCTTAAGTTTCCAAAAAAGAAGAAAAATCAGCAAAGTCCACAGACCTTTCAGTATGTATCTGAGTGTAACTACAAGGAACACTGGAAAATGCAGTGTCCTTAGCTTAGGAAACTAAGCTCAATGACGCTACTCAATGTGCAGACATACTATGCTGTTGCAGCATGTGTAACTGCCAATGCTACTTAGTGAGCTGTGTGTTAAGCAGTGCTCTTCCTTATTTGTAACTTTTGCTAGACATACTTTCTAAGAGGGGTGTGCTTTTTGAAACTTTGGCATGAAATGTGGCTTGTTAGTTTTTCAAGGAGGTCTTCAGCCTTTAGGACAGAGAAGAGATCTCAAGGTTGTGAAACGGGTGTGATGACTTTTTTTTGGGCAGTTGTTTTATAAAGCACTAAACTGGCTCCACACATGTCATGTTTCTTCTCCAGTCATTCAGATCTGTCTCTGACACTGCTGCACTAACCTGTAAACCAAGAATTGGAAACAATACTCCTGGCCTTACTGATGTTGTGACAGGTGAATGATCTTACTCTAGGCTGTTGTATGGCCCTGATGCCATGACTTTGTTAATGCAGAAGGGTTTTAATGTAAGTGTCAGTGCAATTTCTGACTGTTTTGATGTGTGGGTTTTTTTTTTATACACTGGAAATAAACAAGTCTCAGAATATTTATTTACCTTGACTTTGTGAATGCAAACCTTCTTGATGACACTGAATGCTGTGTGTGAGTAAGGACTTTGGAAAAGGTTCTTCAGGGAAGAAGCTGTGTCTTCTGGTATGTCAGTGTACATACCAGATTACATTTTCAGTGTGACCTATAAGGATTTATCTGCATTACCTCCTTTGACTGGTAACACAGCTCCTGTTGTCCTTGCAAATAAAAAAATGCATTTGTAAGCCGCATGGATGGCAGATTATTTGGAAGAAGCTACCAGGGCTATGAATTATGGACAATACCCTCCTTTTTCTAGTTTTGCTGGAACTTCATTAAGTTCAGCAGATTTGAGAGGTTCATTGTAGCCTTAAAGAGAAATTGACCTTGTGTTGAGTCTGACTTCAGCATCTATAAATAGAGTTACAGTCAGTGTCCCAGATTCACTCTGAAGGTTGTGTGGTCTTCTATGGCTGGATTCTGATTTCTTATCAGAAATCTCTTCCTGGAAGAAGCCTATTGCTAAGTGAGAAGACAGATGAAGCAGTGAAAGGAAACAGCTTAATTCTTCAACCAGGAAGAGAAGGAGAGAAATAACCAAGCTTGAATGAATGAAAAGGAAATGTAAGGCAGAAGAAAGCTGGCAGGAGAGGCTGGACACCATCAGCAAAGTTCAGTACTGTAGAACCACTCCTCGGGGACTTAGAGGCTCCAGAAATAATTGTCATGGAGAATATAGCAATATCTACAGTGTGTACAGGGCATTCCAGCCTAGGTCTTACTCTTTTACTGAGATTATCTGGAAATAATCAAAGTTAGGGTTTGGGGTGGGGTGGGGTCTTTGTTTTAGACGATGCAACATTCTTTCCTTGAATAATCAGACTTGGGGTTAAGCTTTTATAGCACACAAAGAAACCATACATCTCTTGAGGGCTTTTAATGAGATGCCACATTTTACCCACGTGGAATGGCAGTGGGACTGTTGAGAAAGCACAGAGATTCCCC